TAGTTTAAAACAATCTCTGAGCCTCTTGTTAGGCCACCTTCCGAAAAAGCTTTTTATCTGAGAAGGTCACATTTGTTTCTATACCTCATTTCTTACCATATTTTATGTGGTGGTCAATGTCCATTCTAAATGGAGATGGGTAGAATTTCAGTCTCTCAGATCCTATAATCAGGGGCACCTGGGTGGCTCAGTTGTTAAGCGTCTGCCTTCGGCTCAGGTCATGATCCCAGGGTCCTGGAATCGAGCCCCGCATCGGGCTCCCTGCTGGGCGGGAAGCCTGCTTCTCCCTCTCTCACTCCCTCTGCTTGTGTTCCTGCTTTTGCTATCTCTGTCTCTGTCAAATAAATAAATAAAATCTTTAAAAATAAAATAAAATCCTATAATCAGATGTTTAGACCTGAAACCAACCTTAAACACAGTGTTCAGCTCTTGTATCAGTAAATGAAGAAACCAACCTATAGAGGTTAATTCTCTTATCCCAGGTTATCACAGCTAATCTCTAGATTCTTTGATCCTTTCATCATGATGCTTTTAGAACATTCTTGACCAAATATAAATAAGGAAGCATCAAGATGCAAATAGTGATGAATTTTAATTAATTAATTTTAGAGAGAGGAGAGAGGGGGTTGGGGCAGGAGCAGAGGGAGAGGGAGAGAGAGAATCTCAAGCAGGCTCCACACCCCCAGCACAGAGCCCGATGTGTGGCTCCATCTCACGACCCTGAGATCGTGACCTGAGCCAAAATCAAGAGTCGGACACTTAACTGACTGGGGCACCCGGGTTAATAAGGTGAGCATCACTAATAATTAGATAGTGATGAATTTTAAAGAAATGTCTAGCTCATATGCAAGTGAGAGCTGAGGACAAGCTGAAGCTGAAATTCTGATGCTAGACTTACAAAGCACTCTTTGTCTACTTCTGGTCTCTTGAATCCTGTTTAGAAGTCACAGTAATTTGTCTCACTGTGCCATGGTCTGCTATACCCATATTCATTTCAACTCTTAGATGATGATAAATAAATTTCAAACCAGCATGTGGGGGATCTGTGTTCAACTGGTGAAGTCAGCATTAAAAAAACAGGTTATCCTGGTGTGGGTTTTGGCACATGTACTTGTCAAGTGCAGGGTATATTATGTATTAAAGTATCTGTATGAACATGAGCTAGTTTGGGTCTGTGGGTGGTGATGCTTGAGGGGAAATATCCCAGGATGCAATGTTGGGAATTAATGGTCAGTGAGAACAGAGGGGACCTGAAAGGGCTGAATTGTATCATGCCTGGAGGACTCTGGAAACTTTGCATGGCTCATAGGTGCCTACTATCCTGCTCTAACCTGTTCTTTAATCTTTTATACCATGTTATCCAACCTGCAGAACTTCCTGATTTTCCCATATTTAAGCAGCAAGTTAATATGTGGAAATTTATTCTTCTTACTTCCCCTCTGAAAACTAGCCTTTTCCATGTCACTGAAGCTGTGTATCCCTTCCCTCCCACCCCTTCTGTTGTCTTATTGATCTCCAATTAGTAAGTGACTCAGCCTTAATTTTTTTTTTTTTAAAGATTTTATTTATTTATTTGAGACAGAGAGAATGAGAGACAGAGAGCATGAGAGGGAGGAGGGTCAGAGGGAGAAGCAGACTCCCCGCCGAGCAGGGAGCCCGATGCGGGACTCGATCCCGGGACTCCAGGATCATGACCTGAGCCGAAGGCAGTCGCTTAACCAACTGAGCCACCCAGGCGCCCCTCAGCCTTAATTTTTAAGATTTGTATACCTACCTACTTGTAGCTCAACTGTTATGACTGAGATGTATCAAATTTAATATCATTATCAGCCCAGAAGTATATTTCACTGCCACTTAAAAGGCCCTCTGATCTCTACAAGTTTGAATCTTACTTTCCTCTCCTCTCCTACTCCTGTGTACTGTGACTAGTATATATTATAGAATTTATGGTATCCTACTTTATTTTAGGACTAATGGCTACTGTTTTTATTTATTTATTTATTGGTTTATTTAATGACTGCTTTTTTTTTTTTAAGGTTTTATTTATATACTAGAGCATGAGCAGGGGAGAGGGGCAAAGGGAGAGGGAGAAGCAGACTCCCTGCTGAGCAAGGAGGCCATCGTGGGGCTCAATCCCAGGACCCTGAGATCATGACCCAAGCTGAAGGCAGACGCTTAACCGACTGAGCCAGCCGGGCACACATGACTGCTGTTTTTAAATAGCTTTGCTAAGGGTTCACAATGTTTTTTTTATTTTTTAGGGCTCACAAATCTTAAAGTTGTTTTGTTCTAATCTCATTGGCTCGCTTAAAGCTCTTTCACTTAATCCAAGTTTTCAGTGAAAAGTTGATGCTAAAACTGGTGACTTAATGTATTTATATTTGAGTCCTAGAAGAAGTATGTTTACTGCTTGTGAAACTGGGTTTGTTTAACTCATGAACCTCAATTTCCTCAAAGTAAGATTATTAATAAGTATTTCAGAGAAGTTTATCAGGATTAAGCAAGAGAAGACAGAGCTTGTCATATTTAAGTACTCAAATATTAGTTATTAGTAATAATATGAAGATTTGAAAAAAGACTAAAGAGCAGACATTAAGTTCATTTATTTTTTTTCATTAAGTTCATTTAAATCCAGCTATAATCTCTAATATTTTAAGAAGCTAAGAATATTAACTTTGAACACTCCTTTTAATTAGTTACTGTGTCTGGAAACAGCGTAGCTACTCCTGGGTTCTAGATACCAGGAATGACCTGGACAGATTTTGAGATTTCCTTAAATGCTCCATTCTGGCTCTATTCAGTAGATATTAAATACTGTGCCAGTAGTAAATCTATTTCCACCTTGGAAATAGTTTTACTAGTTTATCTAGTTGATTCTCCTATAATTCAGTCCTTAAAACTGCCTACATGATATTTGGAAAACTGGCATCAATTACTACCTTCTTTGTTTAGTACTGGATTATGAAGTATCTTGAATTTTATTTTATTTTTATTTTTTTAAACTAATACTAGCAATTTTATTTTTTTATTACTTTTTTAAGATTTTATTTATTTATTTGAGAGAGAGAGAGAGATCATGAGCAGGGGGGAAGGGTAGAGGGAGAAGCAGACTCCCCGCTGAGCAGGGAGCCCAGTGCAGGACTCGATCCCAGGACCCTGGGATCATGACCTGAGCTGAAGGCAGACGCCCAACAGACTGAGTGACCCAGGCACCCAGTATCTTGAATTTTAAAATATAAAAACAGTCTTGCTGATTATTTTAAACTAACATAATAATTGGTAGATAGTTAAACTACCCATCTATTTTTGGTCTGGGAAGTATACGAATAAACAGTAAAGGGCTTTATGTGTGTGCATGTGTGTATGTTAGTAATTTTCCTGGTGAAGATGTTAAAAGTTCTAGTAGCACAAAATGACACTGTAAGTGAATACAGTGTGATGGTTCACTATGATTCTTTTATTTATTATAATACAAAAGATGAATTCCAAATGACCCACTTAAAATTTATGACCCTAGTACATTAAGTGGAGTTTTAATGTCCTTCAGGAACTTATCTTTGCCTTCATCTCATACATTCTATTTATCTAAAAAGGCAGGAAGGTAATTTCAGGTAGCAGTTTCTTTAGTTATGTCTCCCCTTGTTCCTTACAGTTTTACTGATGCATAGTTTTCCTTTTTACACAACCTTAAGGGAAGTAGTAAGTTTCAACTTCTCTGTTAGAGTATCCTAAAAATAAAGGGAGTAAGACACCTAACAAAACTGGGGACTTAAAAATTAGAACCACTGAATATTCAGAGGATCATTGAAAAGTGTAACACATAAAAAGGCATACTCTGTTTATGTAAAAAGAGAGCCAGCCAGCCGGCCAGCCAGCCAACAAGCTGATGATTAGCTAGACTCTGTTCCATCAGCTTATTAAAACTAAGGTCCATTTTTTTTTTCCTTTTAATTGTTTCTCCTTTTCTTTGTAGTTTTGCCAAATATCCGTTTATTACAATGAGGAAAAATGTGATAAATCTTTGAAAGCATGTTTTCTTTCATTTCTGTTTTGCTAAAATCTTGTCAGTTTCTATGCTTTTCCTATCTTTGTGGTAGGCTGTGAGCTCCTATTGGGCAGGAACCAGTTTTCCCTGTTACAAAGTACTTAACTTATAAGCTGCATAATAGGAAGCTTTAAAAATAGTAGTTTATTCCAACTCCTGTGTGTGTGTGTGTCTAAATGATACAGACCATGAACCAAATTCCAGTAGCGCCTCTTACAACATAATGTCTGGAAGTTACACTTAACCTCTGTGAATCTATTCTCCATTTCTCAAGTAGAGATTATGTCTACCTCATGGGGTTGCTAATGACCTAAATGTGAAGCACTTAGTAGAGTTCCGTGCACATGATTAGTAGCTGCCACAAGGACCTGCTTGATCTGCACTCCCCCACCCCAAAGACCATTTCCACTCCCCTCTGGTCTCCCTTCCTACTGTTCTCTCCCTGGTCACCCTCTCAGGCCATGCTGGCCTTGTTCCTCCTCTCTTGGCCAAGCACACTCGCTTCTCGGGCCTTTGTTCTTTCTGTTCTCTCTGCCCTTTCCCCAAATATCTGCACAGCTTGCTTCCTGGTTTTACTCAGGCTTCTGCTCAGATATCACCTTGTCAGATCTTTCCAGACATCCCCCCTAAAATAGTGTTCTCCTCTTCACCAGGCTTTATTTTTCTCCTAAGCACTCACCTAACACATACATATTGTGTGTATCTTCCCACAAAGTAGAAGTCTGTGAGAACAGGGACTCTGTTTTGCTCACCGATGTATCTAAGCCCATAGAACAGTGTTCAGCATATAGTAGGCACTGCATTTTTGATGAGCTGCTGCTGATTAAAAGTTCAATAACAAGCTGACCTCATAATTGTTCCTCATTAATGACTGTGGAAATTGCCACTTTTTGCTCAAGGATTGCTTAGGCCTGATGATAAATGAACAAGGTTACTCTGCGTTTTTCCCGTGCAGGTTTCAGTGTGGCCCAGAAACCGTTCGGAGCCACATATGTGTGGAGCAGCATTATAAACACGCTTCAAACACAGGTGCAGGTGAAAAAGCGAAGACACCATTTAAAAAGACACAATGACTGCTTTGTTGGTTCAGAAGCTGTGGATGTCATTTTTTCTCACCTAATTCAGAACAAATATTTCGGTGATGTGGATATTCCTCGGGCCAAAGTGGTGAGAGTGTGTCAAGCACTTATGGACTACAAAGTATTTGAAGCAGTTCCAACCAAAGTCTTTGGAAAAGACAAAAAACCTACATTTGAAGATAGTAGTTGCAGCCTTTACAGATTCACAACCATACCTAATCAAGACAGTCAGTTAGGCAAAGAGAATAAGCGATATTCACCTTCCAGGTTGGTATATAATGTTAGATTATCCTGGGGATATTGGCAGGATTTCATCGACTTTTTGGCGAGAGGCTGACTGGCTTTATGTTATTTTAGAAATTGTAAATTAGGCTAACATCTGGGTCTGTGGGGAAATTTGATAAAATACAGTGAATTTCTATTTATTTGGTATCTCCTGGAATTCCTACTTACTCATATTTTATATTTAGCAGAAATAATCAACAAACTTTGATTTTCTTTCTGCATCAATTTACAATCATAGTATAAAAATATGTTAGAGAGTTTATACACAAAGTGATATGAGAACAGAAAAGGTGAAGGGAGGCTGGTGGGTTATCACTAGAATCTAGGACATGGTAGATGTTAAGTATGAAAAGCATGTGGGACCCAGAATGCAGAGGATTTTATATGACATACAACATAAAGAGTTTGCAATCAATCATACAGATGTTGGGGAGGCCACAGAAAATGACATTGAATCTTAGAAAGGTCATCCTGGCAGCCATACGGACAGCCTAACTGGGAGAGCCAGTTAGGAATCTATTGCACTATTGCAGTCTACAGATGAGGGTGAAGTGAGCAGCAGTGGTGAAGAAGGAATCATGTCAAGGGAGACTGGGGGACAGAATTGTAGAACCCAGTGCTTGAAATGGATGTATGTGATGAGTACATAATTAACTTGGTTATTTGTCATGAAATAAGACGTTTCTCTCTCTCTTTTTTTTTTTTTTAAAGATTTTATTTATTTATTTGAGAGAGAGAAAGAGCACAAGAGGGGGGAGCGGGAGAGGGAGAAGCAGACTCCCTGCTGAGCAGGGAGCCCGATGCGGGACTCGATCCCGGGACTCCAGGATCATGACCTGAGCCGAAGGCAGTCGCTTAACCAACTGAGCCACCCAGGCGCCCAAGACGTTTCTCTTTTATTTTCTTCAGCGAAACTGTATAGAAGTGACTGTGTAACTGAAGCTCTTATAATTCAGATCTGACCCAAAGAGTTTTAGTGTTACCGACTTTCAATTTTTTTTTTTTTTTAAGTTTTATTTATTTGAGAGAGAGAGCAAGCACAAGCAGGGGGAGGGGTGGAGGGAGAGGGAGAAGCAGGCTCCCCACCGAACAGGGAGCCCAACGTGGGGCTCGATCCCAGGACCCTGAGATCATGACCTAACCTGAAGGCAGATGCTTAACCAACTGAGCCACCCGGGCGCCCCTTTCAATTATTTTTAATGTATAGTATATCAAAAATTGTGTATTTTTAGTGTATTTAGTGTATCAAATATCTTTTTTTAAAGATTTTTATTTATTTGACAGAGAGAGATACAGCGAGAGAAGGAACCCAAGTAGGGGGAGTGGGAGAGGGAGAAGCAGGCTTCCCACTGAGCAGGGAGACCGATGCCGGGCTCGATCCCAGGACCCTGGGATCATGACCTGAGCCGAAGGCAGACGCTTAACAACTGAGACATCCAGGCACCCCTGTATCAAATATCTTAATGTCTTAACTTTCAAGACTCTCTATTTAAAAGATGGTAACATTTACCTCTCTGTTTAGGAAAGATATATGAGGATAAGATAGGGCAAAATCACTGCTTTCCAAATGCAAGTCCACATTCTTTATGTGAAACCTTTGGGGCCACATGCATTTAGAAATTTGGAACTTTAGAGGTTTTAAAAAGATAATTTTGTAGATAGAACATATATTAGATAACACTCCTAGAGGGATCTGGGAGAGCATCTGGTAACGAAATGCATTAATATTTCTGCAGTAAACAAAATACTCATATTAACTGGGATAAGTAAAGACTATGCAGGACAGGTTTCCCCACCCCCCCGGCCCCAGTAAAGTGAGGACAGGTTTTGTCACTATATGAGTTCTGAATAAACTTTAGATTGCTCACAGCCTTTGGGGTTTCAGAATTGTGGGTAAATATTTGTAGGTCTGTATTTGGAAAATGATGAGCACTATCCACCAAAGAATGCCCCAGAAATAGAGATAAGTGATAAAAACAGTAAGCATAATGAAGTTTGGTTATGTTTTAAAATTGGAGATCAAAATTTTAGTCATCAAATTGCTTAAATCTAAATATTCAAAGAAAAATTTAGAGTATGTATATTTGGGCTCGAGAGTGAAGGTGGATGTTTTTGTATTCTACTCTTAGAATTTGCATTTGTTGTTTTTGCTCTGAAATACATAAGCTTTGTAGAAACTCAGCTCTTTGATGGTAAAGTATTTCTCTGGGCTTACTAAAATAAATTAATAATTAATAAATAATACTAAAATAAATAAATTCATTTTAGGTATTCCGATGTATTATTTAAGTCATCTGATATCAAATCAGCAAGTTTAGAGGATCTGTGGGAAAATCTGAGTTTAAAGCCTACTAACTCTCCTCCTGTAAACATCTCTGCAACCTTGTCTCCACAAGGTAAGTAAAGATGATGCAAGTAAGAAATTTAGAAGACCAACTTCAGATAAAATTAGTTATTTAAAACTTTTCAATCTTAACCTTTATTAGAATTTAAATATTCAGAGCACAAAGAAAGAGTACACTGTGTATTAAAGTTGTTTATATTAAGTTTTAACAGAGGTCTATTATCTTCAACAAATAGATCAGTGTTGCAATTCTTGAACACTGACTTTTGTCCTATCAGCTGGCAGAGGTTCAAGCTGCAGTGTTTTGCGTGCAGATTTTTATTTATTTTAAATATGCTCTCAGATATCTTTTTCTCTAACATCTTATGAGGTTAAATAAAATTTTGAAAATTACATTAGAACATTAACAGAACTCTTATGTTCTTCCTTGTCTATGGCAATGGAATGCAGATTAATGACTGATTTCCACCTTCCCTCCCCCATCCCAGTTGTGGAAACCCTGAGTGGAATAATCTGCAGCCAATAGTTTCAGACCAGTTTTCAGATTGAATAATGAATCATTCTTTCTTCCAAAGTCCTTATTAACATGTTACATGACTTGATCTCTTATCTCTGCCATATTGCTTTTACAGTAAAAGAATGAAAAGAATTCCTGCTGTCTAAAGTCTGTTCTCCTACACTTTAAACAAATCTTGAATTGTTTTACTTTGTCATAAGAAACCACTTTATAAATAAGGTTGACTTTTTTTTCTCTTTTCTCTTTTTTTTTGCCAAAATTTATACCTTAGACTTGCCTAGACAAATATCGTGGTATTTAGTAAATATTTTTACTTTTCACTTTGTCATTTTCCTGTGCAGTTATTAATGAAGTATGGCAAGAAGAAACAATTGGACGTCTACTGCAGCTCGTAGACCTTCCACTTCTTGACTCCTTACTCAAACAGCAAGAGGTTGTATCTAAAGTTCCTCAGCCTAAGAGGCAACCTGATTTGGTCAACAGCAGTAACTATCTGGATCGAGGGATTCTCAAGGCTTACAGTGACTCTCAGTATGTGGAAATACATCTATCTCAATAATTTGAGTGTGTTTGTAGGAAAATCGTAGATAATGGTTTTAAGATAATCTCCTGAATTCTTCCGTCCACGGGATCAGATATGCATTAGCAGTTGATAATTATCAGGACTTGGGAAAGTGAAGAACAAAATTACCTTGGTCAAAATTAGAAAGAGATATAATTTTCATTATTTTTTTATATTTATTTTTGCTTCTCACATAACCTACTTACACATCAAGTGAAGAAAATGATTCTTCTTATCTTTGTTAAAATGTAGGGCTCTCTGGTCTTCAAAGGGACCCGGAACAAAATTAACAGATTTGACAAATTCTTAGACTCGTTTGACTACCTATACTTTTATGCTTCACCAAAATATCTTGAATATGTATTTTTTTTAAAGATTTTATTTATTTATTTGACAGAGAGAGACATAGCGAGAGAGGGAACACAAGCAGGGGGAGTGGGAGAGGGAGGAGCAGGCTTCCCACTGAGCGGGGAGCCCGACATGGGGCTTAATCCCAGGACCCTGGGATCATGACCTGAGCCGAAGGCACATGCTTAACGACTGAGCCACCCAGGCGCTCCTTGAATATGTATTTTTTAATTAACTAGTGTTATTGAAGAGAGAATGAAAGTAACTCTTGCTCTCATATCTGACTATCATTCTTCTGAATATAAATCTTAAATTGTGAAGGCTTAACTTCAGGTGCTAAAGGAAGTATGATTTTTTTTTTTTTCCGTTAAGGAAGAGTTCTATATTCCTTATAACTTTGAAATTCTTTTCTTAAGTAAAATTATTAAAGGTTAAAATCTTGTATTTTCTAGCTTGTTTAATTTTTAATTACTTTGCCTCAGCAGATCGTGTTCAGTAGTTAGGGAGATGGGAATGTTTAAAAGGAATGCAACTTACATTTCTCAGTACTTCTTCACAAGTTCCACAGTCCAGTGAACTATTAATAGTTAAATACCAAAAGATAGTTTAAAACCTTATGCAAGGGGTGCCTGGGTGGCTCAGTCGTTAAGCATGTGCCTTCGGCTCAGGTCATGATCCCAGGGTCCTGGGATTAAGCCCCACATCGGGCTCCTTGCTCAGCGGGAAGCCTGCTCCTCCCTCTCCCACTCCCCCTGCTTGTGTTACCTCTCTTGCTGTCTCTCTCTCTATGTCAAATAAATAAATAAAATCTTAAATAAATAAATAAAATCTTACACACAAAAAAAGTTAATCCTAACATACTAGTTAACTGAACTCTGTGTGTATAATAGGACGATTATTATTCAACAAGAATTTAAATCATTATGATGAGCACTGAGGGAAAAAAAGATAAATAAAATTGAATAAATCACACCTCTAATTCTTTTTTTTTTTAAGGTGGGGGAGGGGCAGAGGGCTAGAGAGAATCTTAAGCAGGCTCCACCTCCAGTATGGAGCCCAAGGTGAGGCTCCATCTCAGGGCCCTGAGATCGTGACCTTTAGCTGAAATCAAGAGTCAGACATTTAACTGACTGAGCCTCCCAGGTGCCCCACACACCTATAATTCTTTAAAAAAAAAATGAATTTAAATCCTATTTCTATAATCTAGTTTTTTTTTAAGATTTTATTTATTTATTTATTTTTTAATTTTATTTATTTATTTGAGACAGAGAGAATGAGAGACAGAGAGCATGAGAGGGAGGAGGGTCAGAGGGAGAAGCAGACTCCCTGCCGAGCAGGGAGCCCGATGCGGGACTCGATCCCGGGACTCCAGGATCATGACCTGAGCCGAAGGCAGTTGCCCAACCAACTGAGCCACCCAGGCGCCCCTAAGATTTTATTTTTAAGTAATCTCTATACCTATCATGGGGCTTGAACTCACAACCCCAAGATCAAGAGTTGCATGCTCCACCGACTGTGCCCCATATTTCTACGATCTAAAGTAACATGAAAACATTTTATAATTACCTTACATTTTAAATACAGAATTAGAAATTGTGCTAGAAGTGACCTTGAAGATCATCTTGCTGCATCTTACTATGAACTTGATGAAGCTGATGCACAGAAAGGTGGCATGACCTGCCCGATATAATGCTCTTGGGTGGTGGCAGAATTAGTTGTCCTGAGTTCATAGCAGTAGAGCACATGGTTGTTCTTTTTTAAACTACATATAAAATACATATAAAATATATCATGTATAGGGCGCCTGGGTGGCTCAGTCTTTAAGCGTCTGCCTTCGGCTCAGGTCATGATCCCAGGGTCCTGGGATCGAGTCCCACATCGGGCTCCCTGCTCAGCGGGAAGCCTGCTTCTCCCTCTCCCACTCCCCCTGCGTGTGCTCTCGCTGTCTCTCTCTCTGTCAAATAAATAAATAAATAAAATCTTTAAAAAAAATATATGTCATGTATATTAGCAAGTTGAATTTTTTTTTTTTTAAAGATTTTATTTATTTATTTGAGAGAGAGACTGAGAGAGAGAGAGCATGAGAGGGCGGAGGGTCGGGAGGGTCAGAGGGAGAAGCAGACTCCCTGCCAAGCAGGGAGCCCAATGCGGGACTCGATCCCGGGACTCCAGGATCATGACCTGAGCCGAAGGCAGTTGCTTAACCAACTGAGCCACCCAGGCGCCCGGCAAGTTGAATATTAAAAGTTATTCTAGAATTCTGTTTCTTGAAATGTAACATTTTTCTGATTTACCCAGGTGGCATTTTATTAGAAATGGAAACTAATATTTAATTGTTTTTGAAACCCTACCTTATCTTCCTCTGTTGTCTCCTAGCCAGAGTGAGAGATGATAGATCACAGAGCTCTGAAGTACACAACATCATATTAGAAAAATACTGGCCTAGGAGTCAGATCTGGGATCTAGTCCTAACTGGGACCCTGAGCAAGTAACTTAGAGTTTCTGGACCTCTGTTGTAAATTTAATATTAGAGTTTGAATTTTGATATCCTTTTCAGTTTACATTGTAGTGGATAGCTTCTGTTTTCACTTCGAAAAGAAAAAGAAGACATATGAAGCCAGACTTTTTGTCTGTGATACATGATCTAGCTATATTTTAAAAAGAATTACACATATCTATATCTAAGTGTATAGAAATTTATCCTCATGGCAAACTTGAAAGAGGTAGTAAATTAGGTACTATGTGTATATTTGTTACTTGCTTTTTAAAATACTTAAAAAAATTTTTTTGAAAATAATTCTTTTTTCCCCCATAGGGAAGATGAATGGCTCTCTGCAGCAACTGATTGCTTAGAATACCTTCCAGACCAGATGGTGGTGGACATAAGCAGAAACTTTCCTGAGCAACCAGATAGGATAGACTTAGTGAAAGAACTTCTCTTTGATGCCATTGGCAAATATTACAGTAGTAGGGAACCTCTGTTAAATCACTTATCTGATGTTCATAATGGCATTGCAGAGCTCTTAGGTAAGTAAGATCTTACTGGATACTGGAATTTGTCTTTTGGAGGAAACAGGAAAAAGTTAATTATCCTCAGAATGAACCAAATTGCTTCAGGCTCGAAGTGGATCTGGATAAATCCATGGAAAGTATGTTTATTCCAAACTTCTAGGGTTCATTTGGAAGGAGGCTTTAGTAAGTTCTAAAGTTATGCAGGAACTTCTGGTTGGCACAGGAGAATGCTGCCCTAATTCACTGTAAGTTTAATAGGTATAGTGTGGCAGTTCTCTTCTTTACAATACCACCAATACCAATACCACCACTCTCCCCCGCTTCATTGTCTTCAAAATGGCAGACACTCAATCCCTCTACCAATGAGCCAGACTGTTCGACATGGTTTGTTGAAAACAAATTGTGGATTTCAGAGAATCCTATTTTTCTCAGGTAGAGTTGGATACATCAGTACTTTACACATAGTGTACCCTTGAAATGTGTTGAATTAATGAAAAGCAGGCTGAGAATTTATTTACAAAGCCAAGAGTTTAATTTAACATCCTAAGATGATTATGACAAGGATTTAGGGTATCAGTTGCCAATTTGAGAATAGGCTGCCTTGATGGTTGGTATTGGTCATTTATTGTAATTCCTAGTTGTTTTGTTTTGCTTTTGAAAATAGTTTTGAGAGGCCCCTGAGTGGCTCAGTCGGTTAAGCGTCTGCCTTCTGCTCGGGTCATGGTCCCAGCATCCTGGGATCGAGCCCCGCATCGGGTTCCATGCTCAGTGGGGAGCCTGCTTCTCCCTCTCCTTCCGCCTGCCTGCCTATCTGCCTACTTGTGATCTCTCTCTCTCTCTCTGTCAAATAAATAAAATCTTAAAAAAAAAAGTTTTGAGTAAGTTTAGTGTTTAGCTTCAGCTTTACATTGAATTTTGTTCCCTTTGATAATCCTATTTGGTCAAAATTAAAAGCAGTTTTTTCTTTCGGATGAAGTGAACGGGAAGACTGAAATAGCATTAGAAGCCACTCAGCTCTTTCTAAAGCTTCTGGACTCCCAAAATAGAGAAGAATTTAGAAGACTACTGTATTTCATGGCTGTTGCAGCACATCCTTCTGAATTTAAATTACAGAAAGAAGTAAGTCTTTTGTCTAAATGTGAATTGTATTCGAGCAGCCTTAGTTCTTACAGGACCCACAAGTCAGATTATTTCACATCGGCATCAAATATGCTGAAATGACTAATGACTATTAATATTCAACATTGCCTTCTATATAAACTCATTCTTTTAAATATACACTATTGGGTGTGTTTTATTTTTATAGAGCGACAACCGAATGGTTGTGAAAAGGATATTCTCAAAAGCGATTGTTGACAATAAAAATTTATCTAAAGGCAAAACTGATCTTCTCGTACTCTTTTTAATGGATCATCAAAAAGATGTTTTTAAGGTAAAATTCTGAAAGTAGTTAAGTTGAGCTTATGTAATAGATCACTGGATTAAAATGCATTTGAATAATCTGTGTCCCTCTTTTTTTTTTTTTTTTTAAGATTCCAGGAACTCTACATAAAATTGTTAGTGTTAAGCTCATGGCCATTCAGAAAGGAAGAGATCCAAATAGAGACACAGGTAATCTGAGAAATATAATTTTCATGATCTTCCAAAGATAAATTCCTAGTGTTTATTTGAAAGTATTTTGTTGCACTTTAATTTTCCATTAAACTTTAAATTCCTCAGGGTTATCTAGACTTAGCAGAGAGCCTCCTTATGTCAAAAAGTAACTTGACCAAATTTAGACAGTCAGCAGTGCTTAGCATCTTCAATGCATTTTATAAACTGGGGAATAAGAATATAAATGTAAAAATATTGCTTATTTTTTTTAGTTAAATCTGAGGAATAGATTCATTAACTGAACTTTTTACTTTTAAACATAAAGGATATATATATTGCCAGAGAATTGATCAAAGTGATTATTCTGACCATACACAGAAGACAACCAAGGATGAACTAATGAATTTACTAAAGACTATTGATGAGGATTCAAAACTATCTGCCAAAGAGAAGAAAAAATTGCTAGGTCAGTTCTATAAGTGTCATCCAGACATCTTTATTGAGTATTTTGGAGACTGAGTTTTTAATGTCTGTATATAACTTATGTATTTTAATAATAAATTATGTATCCTAAATATCTAATCACATTTGTAATCTTAGATGTTCTAAATATGAAATTGTACTTAATAAAACATTTTTTGTATAAACTTCTGTGTCTGAAACTGAGTATTAGATGGTGTATTGCTGTTAGATATTAACCTCTTTAGGGTGAGCTGATTTATAAGTACTGTGCCCAGTACTTTATAGAACATCATAGAAATTTAATGATATGACATTGCAGTGTTTACATAACAAAGTATTAAATAGTAAGGAAGTCTATAATTACAAGTTAATAGGAGTGTGGTTTTTACCTTAAGAGGTACTCCTTAAAGATACAAGAGAGAAACTCAGGCTATGATAAAGTGAATTTGCTAATTACCATAAACAGTAGACAAGTCAGAAATTGAACTGTCCTGATGATTTTGAAAACTTCAACATCTTTTAAGTTTATTGGGGAAAAATTCAAACATTTAAAAATGAGCGAGAACAGAATAAAAGAATAACTTCCATGTACCTATTATCCACTTTCAACAATTGGCAACTCATGGCCAATCTCATTTAATCTATACCCCCATGCATTCCTTGCTCCCACCCCAGCAAGCGTCAGACATCATATCACTTAATCTATTAAATTTCAGAATGCATGGCTAAAAGATAAGGACATAAAAAAAATAACCACAATATCATCATTACATACACACAAACCCACAATTCCTTAATACCATCAAATATGCAGTCAGTAGTCACATTTTCTGATCCCAAATGATTTTGACAGTTTACTCAAATAGGGATCCATTAAGGTCCATAAATTACAATTGGTTAATGTGCTTCTTAAGTCTCTTTTAATCTGGGGTGCCTGGGTGGCTCAGTTGTTAAGCATCTGCCTTTGGGTCACGTCATGATTCCCAGAGTCCTGGGATCGAGCCGCGCATCGGGCTCCTCGCTCCGCCGGAAGCCTGCTTCTCCCTCTCCTGCTCCTGCTGCTTGTGTTCCCTCTCTCTCTGTGTCAAGTAAAATCTTTTTTTAAAAAAAGTCTCTCTTAATCTATATGTTCTTCTTTTAACTCCTCCTTCCTTCTCCTCCTCCTCCTTTTCTCGCTCTGCCTCTGTCATTGAATAAACCTGGTTAGTTCCTGAGTTTCTCCACAGTCTGGATTTTGCTGATTGCAAACCTGTACTAACTTTTATCATGTTCCTCTCATATCCTGTACTTCTTGTGAACTGGTCATTAGCACTAAAATCTTCAACTTTTTTTTTTTTTTAAGATTTTACTTATTTGAGACAGAGCATAAGAGGGGGGAGGGTCAGAGGGAGAAGCAGACTCCCCGCTGAGCCGGGAACCTGACGCAGGACTGGATCCTGATCCCGGAGTCCCGGGATCAAGACCTGAGCCACCCAGGTGCCCCTAAAATCTTCAACTTTTCATCCAAGGTCATGATCATTTTGGAACTGCACTGTCAGGATATATTTGGTAAATAGACAAGCAATATAATACAATTACAATTTGAAACTGTTCATCCAATAATCAAAAGATTAAAAGGAAACAATTTTTCTACTTAAACTTTTAAAGAAAGGTTGGGAGGGGGCACCTGGCTCGCTCAGTCCGTAGAGCATGTGACTCTTGATCTTGGGTCTGTGAATTTGAGTTCCACGTTTGGGTATAGAGATTGCTTAAAACAAACAAACCCTAAAAGAGCAGTAGGGAAAACTGAGATGCACCAAAATGCTAGCATGTCAATCTTTTATTTTCTAACATCTGATACCAACAGTCTTTCAGTGGGAGAACGTTGAGAACTCTATAATATATCTGTGATCCCAGTTCTCCTAATAAAGCAGGGAATAACTTTGTCAGGTTTTTTGTTTTTCGTTTTGTTTTCATAGACAAGGGAAGGCAGCTGTCTTTACTGTGTGAAAAAGAGAAGACAAGATCGTTCGTGATTTAAATGTGAGGAAGTTTTCAGAAACTACTGAAAGTGTGGTGAGACCATACTTGGGGTGTGGAGGTGGTTCTTGCCTGGCTGCAAACTCGAAACACTTGGGAAGCTTAGTTCTTCCCTGGCATCACCCCTGGAGTCTCAGATGATCCTTTTAGAACTCCTGCCCCCCCTCCTGCCCCTGGAGATTCCAAGATGTAGTTAGGGTTGAGAACCACTAATCTCGAGACTATACATTAGTATAGAGCAACTGTGTGTACTATCTGACTTGCGACCTTTACTTTGCACATAATTGAATGATTATTTGGCAAACAAAACTTAACACTTCTTCAGGGGAAGCAAACTAACTGCCTAGTTTTGTTTTGTTTTTTTAAGATTTTATTTATTTATTTGAGAGAGAGAATGAGAGACAGAGAGCATGAGAGGGAGGAGGGTCAGAGGGAGAAGCAGACTCCCTGCCAAGCAGGGAGCCCGATGCGGGACTCGATCCCGGGACTCCAGGATCATGACCTGAGCCCAAGGCAGTTGCCCAACCAATTGAGCCACCCAGGTGCCCCTGCCTAGTTATTATATTCATGTTCCTAGAAGCAGCGGCATTCATTTCATGGAAAATTCTAGCAAGATCAGTTTACCTCAAACTTCCTAAGCAAGAATAAAGTTTAAGAAAAATTGGTCCTGTTCACTGCAAGCATGGTCAAAGTTTTATTTTTTATTTTTTTTAAGATTTTATTTATTTGACAGAGGGAGAGAACAAGTAGGCAGAGAGGCAGGCAGAGGGAGAGGGAGAAGCAGGCTCCCCACTGAGCAGGGAGCCCGATGCTGGGCTCAGTCCCAGGACCCTGGGATCATGACCTGAGCCGAAGGCAGCTGCTTAACTGGCTGAGCCACCCAGGCGCCGCAAGCATGGTCAACGTTTTAAAGTGCGGGTCCTGTGCTACCATGAATGCTGTGGGCACCCCTCCTGTATCACTAAAACTGCCAGCTGCTTGCTGTGTGCCCTCATCCATGATATCCCCTTGGGGACCCGGCCCCACTTAGACACCTGATGCCTAGGTGACTATGAGCCTTGCCACCACTCTAGCTAAGTAGACCAGGGCTAAGCACTGATCCAAGAACAGCTTACCTATAGGCAAATGACTGATTTTGCACAAAAATCAGCTTGCTCAAGGAAATTCTATATAGAAAAATCCAAATTAGGAGGAAGCAACAACTAAGAAAATAGAGAAACCAGTCTGTGATTCAGAGGGGTGCTGGGGATTGCAGCAAGGAGTAGAGATGTGATGAGAGCCATCCTGTGTGTCTTGGGGAGATGATAAAACAGTACTGCTCTCTAGAACAGCTGCTGGCTTTCTCCTTCCAAACCCTAGGGAGCCTTGCTGTGAACTCCCTTTATTTTGAAGTAGTTTGAGTTTCCAGTGCTTGAAGCCAAAAAAATCAAACAAGGTGTCCATATGTTTTTAATATTTGAAACAATTCCAAGTATATCAGAAGATAAAAAGTAACCATTACAAGTCAAATCAATGGTTTTAATACTGTAACAGTGTCCCCTCCACAAGTGAAAATTGTTTATATTAATCCTTCAAGGAAGGTAGTGAACTCTCACTAGGGGTGTAGATGTGGCGGGGGCAAGGGTGGATCTCTCTGGGGAGGTGGTTCTTGCCTAGCTGCATATTTGAATCACCTGGAAAGCTTAACAGTTTTTCCCCCAGCATCACCCCCAGAGTTTCAGATGATCGTTTTAGAATGCCCACACCCCAGACAATTTTAGGGTGTAGTTTGAGAACCACTAATCTAGAGACTGTATGGTATATTAGTCTGGACTCCACAGTGAGAGCTTAATGTTTTCTTGGTGAATCTCTATTCCAGGTGGTTGAGTATCTTAAGGGTTTTGTTTTTTTCTCTCCTAAAGTGAATCCTCATTGAGGATTTTGATGTGCTTGTGTATTTAAGAAAAAATACCTAATGTGCTAGTTAGTGAATGGTTTGATTCTTAATGTGATCTATTTAGTAGTGTTTGAAAGCACTCGTTTCACTTCATCTTGCTTTTCTAGTTATTTAAATTTAACAAGTTTTATAAGCTACGGGTAGGAGACTAGATTATTTCCCTTATTTTGTTTAATTAAGGCATACATGACTTATGCTAAGTCTTATAGCATCTCTACAAAATGAACAGTTAATCACATAGCTTTTAATTTTTTTTCTAAAAATTTTATTTATTTGACAGAGAGAGGGACAGCGAGAGAGGGAACACAAGCAGGGGGAGGGGGAGAGGGAGAAGCAGGCCCCCCACAGAGCAGGGAGCCCGATGCGGGTCTCGATCCCAGGACCCTGGGATCATGACCTGAGCCGAAGGCAGACGCTTAACGACTGAGCCACCCAGACGCCTCAGATAGCTTTTACATTTTAAGATTAGGTACAAAAACTCTGTTCACGTAGTTTGCTATCCTACTGCTAAAAGGTGAGAAAAGCATGGTTTTTTGGGGGCAGCCACTAGTCCAGTGCCGAGATCATCACGGCCCCCACTTCCTGTGATAGAGCAGATGAGGCTCCAAAACGGGCTTGTCTTAGCATATTTTCCCCTTCTAGAACACAGTCATAAAATGCTCCAAGTCCTCACTGTTGTTTACGTACCTACACCGAGCTGAACCCTCATGGGAACCGTTCGTCCCCTTGCCCCGCGTCTCTTCCGGGCTGAAGTCTCGCTCTTTCTATCGACAAAGTGTAGCAACCACTTAGGTAAGAGAGGATCCCCAAACCACAATGAATCTGTGCCATTAAAGTGAGGCTTGGCTATCTAGGTGGTAAGCATGGCTTTTTTTTTTTTTTTTTAACCGCCCAGATTAGGTAGAATAATAAACTATGTGCAGTGACGAAACAGGGTAATATTGAAGTTCGAAAACCCGGGCGGGGAAGGCTTTGAATGAGGTTGCGAATAAGCGGCCTTTTTCTTTCATTCGACAGACTCCGCGCCGGCTCTACCACGTGTTCCTCGCCCGCCTCACACTCTCCCAACAGCGCCCACCTTTCCGTACGGAAACATGGCGCCGCCCTGAGTGGAGCGGGCACCACCGGGCTCCGAGCCACCGCCCACTGAGCCTTGTCGGCCGACTCGGAGCCCGCCTCTCGCATCTCCGTACGGAAACATGGCGCCGCCCGGCTCGAGCTCCCGCCCATTGAGCAAACTCCGCGCGTACGGGACCGCGCCTCCCGCCTTTCCGTACGGAAACATGGCGCCGCCCTACGAGGGGCGGGCACCTCCCGGCTAAAGGGCTGCCTCCTCCTTCCCGACGTTTGAGGAGCGGCCGCACTGGCCGCTACCCACCGGAGCCGGGCGGGGAGGACGGCCCGCAGCGCGGCGAGGGATGCGGCCTCGGAAGGGCAGAGGCTGAAGTGTCCCGTGCTCGCCGCGCGTCGCTCCGCGCCTCCGCCGCCCGTCTCATTCCCCGCCCGAGCGGCAGGAGGAAGAACTCCGCGGCAGGTGAGGGAAGCGGACGCAGAGGCTGGCAGCCCTGCGGGGCCCGCACGGGAGGCGCCAGGTGGAAGTCACAGGCATTTCTTCGCCTCCTCGGGCAGGTCGGGCCCCGTGCTGTCGGGTGGAGGCAGGGACGGCGGCGGGGTGGCCTTTGTCCCAGCCCTCGAGGCCGTGCTCCCAGCGCGCCCCTCTGCCATCGCTGGCTGCCGGCCCGCCACTCCCTCGCCGGCCGGAACAGTTGTTTACAACGGAATCCGGGCGCTGAGCTTGAGTGGCGCTGGGTGCAGGAGGGAGCGGCTCCCGGCGACTGTAGACAGGGCGCCTTTCCTTTGCTCAGAGACCTTTTCTGCTGGGGAGTCTCTGGTGGCGGCTTTAGGGCCCGGCGTGTAGCTCGGGTAGAAGGTCTTTAGGACCAGTGCGAGGATCCTGCTACCCCCGGTTCCCTTTCCAGGCGGAGGAGTTGGTGACTGTTGAATGAGCACGCTGTAAGCAATCCGGGGTTCCTGTAGCTACCAGTTCCAGGAATTATAGCTCCCCTTTGTGGAAAGCCTGTAGTGTACCAGCTGCACATTCTGTCGTCTCATCTTACCCCCAAATCGAAGAAGTAGGCAGCTGCATTTTACAGATGAGGAAACTGAAGTTCCCCAGCTAGTAAAGAGCCAAAATTGGAACCCAGGTACGTCCTGAGACCAACGCCCCTCCTTTGCCGACACGCTGACATCAACAGAGATGACACCGCTGTCACCAAATACTTAGTGGGCATCTGTTTGGAACATAGACTTACACGGATGGAGCATATGTGGGAAATATGGTTGGTGTTGGGCATGAAGAAGTTAAAAATCTAGGTGAAGAGTTATTTTTAATAAAACTAGCAATTTTACGGGCTCCCCCCAACCCACCTTTCCCTCTTCATCACCTGCCACTAGTTTTCTCATTTTCATGTGCCCTCTGAGTGAAATGCCCCCCTTTCCACCTCTTCTCTCACTCTAGACATTTTTTAATTGCGTGAAATCCTGCCCTTTTCAAAAGAACAGCTCAAATGTCCCCCTTTCCGGGAAGGTTATCCCAGCCTCCTTCCAGGAGGAATTTCTTAATCCCTCCACTATGTTCCTTTAGTGGTTTCATCATGCCACCAAAGTTTAAGCTTCACTCCGTTTCCTTGTGAGCATGTTTCCCTCTCCAGGCCTATTTAAATAAGTGTATGTTGAATTGGATCTAAGGCAATGATGCATGCCAGATATGCAGTAACTAGCCGGACGGAGTTCAGAGAAAGGTGCAGACACTGTGGGGAAGTGTCCTGGGAGGAGTAGGACTCGAGCTGAATCTTAAAAGATGGGGTTAGTTTATTAAACTGAGCGTTAAAGAAAAGCATGCCTTCCTCCTGACTGCGCAGTTAAGAGTTACTTCATTCTTTCTGAGGTCATTCTCAGCATGTGAAGAGGATAAAATTAGAAGTGTGTATTTGTCCTTTCTCATAGAATATGCTGGCAATGTTACCTTTTGGATCTTGGAGCATATCCAGAGCCTAATAGGATTTAGGACAGAGGAAATGGGTGTCTGGAGTGGGATGTTGGGAGGTAAGGGGAACTGCATTAAAGCAACCTTCATATTAATAATACAGGCCTGGAGGGGCGCCTGGGTGGCTCAGTCATTAAGTGTCTGCCTTCGGCTCAGGTCATGATCCCGGGATTGAGCCCCATATCAGGCTCCCCGCTCAACGGGGAGCCTGCTTCTCCCTCTCCCACTCCCCCTGCTTGTGTTCCCTCTCTCGCTGTCTCTCTCTCTCTGTCAAATAAATAAATAAAATCTTAAAAAAATAATACAGCCCTGGGAAAAAAATACAGGCCTGAAAATGTCAATTCCAGTAACTTCATTCTACTTAATGGAGGATTCTGAAAGTTCAGATAATTATATCAAATGATTCGTCTCTGTCTAATGTGCAAAAGAGAGTCTGCCAGACCTTTTGGAAGCAGTCAGCATTTCTTTTCATCCCTGGATTACCCTCCAAGGTATATAATAAAAGCTAATTAGTATTTATGACAATGTTTTGTGATCTCCAAGTGCTGATGGTACAAATGCTAATTATTTGCAGTATTGTGAATGCAGAAACATTGTGTCTGTCTTCTCCCTTAATTAGAAACACCTTAGGAAGAGAGAACTCTAGAAAAAACTCGGGGGTAAAAAACTTGAGAAAAACTTTTACAGTAAAAAGAGGCTACAATTGCAAGTCCCCCCTTTTTTTTTTAACTGGCCCAAACCAATGTGTTAAGTATTATTACTGTTCTAACCAGCAACTTAAAAAATTAAAACCCCACCCAACCCCATACATTGTGGTTGTTTGCAACGTCCTCCTTACCATCTTTTCCTGCTGACTGGCAAGAAGTTAATAAAAATATTTGCCCCACATATTCTTACATGCTTTGTAAGATTCTACCTTCTATGTGTCATCCCTAGTTATTCACACAACAGAATCAGAGAACCAGCTCCTCAGCCCAGTGTCTTCATTTGGAAGCGAAGTTAAAAAAGCATGATTTCCAACAACTTTTCATATCCACTCTCAGGAATGAAAGTAAAGAATGGAAGAAATGAATCACTTTTTGATTAAAATAGAAGCAGGCAGCTGATAGTATTATCTTCCGACAATGTAAGGTCCTGTTTTGACATGGTACTTAGGAGTGGGACAAAAATATTCAAACTCGTCGCTCTCTGAGGTACAGGTCCATAAATTTGATAAATCATAAGTGTCATTTTACATGTATCTGTTTAATCATTGAGGTAGAATATGATAGATGGATAAGATCTTCGCAAGCCCATTCATTCTTACAGGTGAGAAAATTGAAACCCAAAGAAAATAAATGATTTGCCAAGAGTCCTACTGCTAGTTAGTGACAGAGCCAGAACATTTGGTTCACTTTTTTTTTTTTTTTTTTTTGGTTCACTTTTTTTTTTTCTTTCCTAGGAAAGTAAATAAACTTAATTGAGAATGTCCGAAAACCCTGGCCAGCCCAATATAAATGAAGCCGGAAAATCAAAATCGAATGATTCTGAGCAAGACCTTGAAGATGCTGTGGAAGGTTCTGATGAAGCTCTACAGAAAACAATAAAGTCGGTTTCTCCCAGCACCCAAAGAGTGCAAAGACCTCACTGTAAGCAAATTTGACTTTGGTTAGAAGCCATATTATTGTTTTCAGATGATATTTTGATTAGGCTTCCTTGTACCTGTGGCCCTGAGCTGGGTTCTAATATGATAACATTGCCGATAACTAGTATTTAAGAATAGCCAAGTTTCGGGTGCCTGGGTGGCTCAGTTGGTTAAGCAACTGCCTTCGGCTCAGGTCATGATCCTGGAGTCCCGGGATTGAGTCCCGCATCGGACTCCCTGCTCGGCAGGGAGTCTGCTTCTCCCTCTGACCCTCCTCCTCTCATGCTCTCTCTCATTCTCTCTCTCAAATAAATAAATAAAATTAAAAAAAAAAAAAAAAAAAGAATAGCCAAGTTTCTCAACTGGCAGCCTATTCACTTGTGGACTTTCTTTTTTGTTGTTTTTAAGATTTTATTTATTTGACAGAGAGAGAGAGAAAAAGCACATGGTGGGGAGTGGCAGAGAGAGAGGGAGAGAGGAGACGCCCTGCTGAGCAGGAAGCCCTGCAGGGCTGATCCCAGGACCCAGAGATCCTGACCTGAGCGGAAGGCAGATGCTTAAATGACTGAGCCCCCCGGGCGTCCCCACTTGTGGGTTTTCAATTGCTTGAGAAATTAAAATTTTAGGATCATGTCCAGAATATTCCTATCTTCCTGCAGTCTCTGTGGCATTCCACTTTCTCTGAAGTGCTCTGAGAAATAGGGTGGAGTGCAAATTGTAGCTTTAATTTAAAAAACATCTGAAAAGTGTGAGGCAGGTTCCAGCCAGGACTGTGCTTGTGCAGGTTAAAAAAGAAATAGGTTTTGAATGTGAGTGAGGTCACCACACCCTAACTCCATTGCCTGGGGGCTTAGTTCCCACAAGGTTGAAGGGATTCAGTTTGCTGAATGTGTGGTGAAGTCATTTCAGTTCCCTGGCAGGGAGCAGGGCCTCAAGGATGAAAGGGTGGTAATTTCCGCAAGTATTCCCAGCAGTCGCCCCAACTCATGTCTTTTATTAAGAATACTTAAGCTTTTTGAAGTGAGTCCAAAAATGAAAGTTTTAAGAGGGAGTGTCATAGTCTAAAAATGTCGGTGCTGATGTTATCTCTTTAAAGTGTAGATGATCAGTAGTTCTTCATATTTGAAAGAAATATGAACATTTTGGGGGTTTCAGGTGTGTTTCTTTTAAAATGATCAAAGCTCTTCCCAGGTAATTTATTAGTCCACACAGTATTCTTTTCTTTTTAAAGATTTTATTTATTTATTTGACAGAGACACAGCGAGAGCGGGAACACAGCAGGGGGAGTGGGGAGGAAGAAGCAGGCTTCTTGCCAAGCAGAGAACCCGAAGTGGGACTCAATCCCAGGACCCTGGGACCATGACCTGAGCCAAAGGCAGACGCTTAATGGGTGAGCCACGCAGGCGCCCCCTCCCCTTTTTTTTAAATTAAGGAGGCTTTATGCCCAGTGTGGGGCTTGAACTCAGGACTCTGAGAGGAAGAGTTGCATGCTTTACTGACTGAGCCAGTCAGGTGCCCCTCAACATAGTATTTTTTTTTTTCCTTTTTAGATTTTATTTGAGAGCGAGAGAGAGCTTGGGGTGGAGTGGGGAGGTTGCCAGGGGAGAGGGAGAAGCAGACTTCCTGATGAGCAGAGAGCCCAACACAGGGCCCAATCCCAGGACCCTAAGATCGGGACCTGAGCCAAAGGCAGATGCTTAACCGATGCTTAACCACCCAGGTGCCCCACAATATAGTATTCTTATAGCGAACATTATGGGCCCCATTTTATTGTGATTTAGTATCACATAGATTTTGATAGGTACACCAATAAGTTCAGGGAAACATGCTGTTGATAAGTCTATCATGCATGTGTTAGGCCTTGCAGAAAAAATTATTTTTGCAGAAAAAAGTAGGGTTCTCCCAGCAGCCAGAGTACAAAGAACTCACTGTAAGCAAATATGACTTTGGTCATATTGATCTCTAATACGTATAGTTAGAAAGCTTCTGTTTTCTCATTTCTATTTATTTTTTAAGATTTTAATTTTATGTAATCTATACCCAACCTGGGGCTCGAATTCACAACCCTGAGATTGAGTCGCATGCTGTACTAACTGAGACAGCCAGGCTGCCCTTTTTTTTTTTTTAATTGGAGTATTTTTATTTTATGTACAATGAGTTAGCATTAAAGTAGGTGTCTTGGATATCTGCAGTTAAGGTAGGTTATCTTGGATGACCAATTCAAGGAAGTTCACTTAATCCAATTTAATGAAGCCTATATCATACTTTGCGTACTGACGGAAACACTGGCGGCACATATTGAGGCCGTATTTCCGGATTAGACTGTGCCAGTTTGAGCAGATGCGGCAGGAACGAGAACCCTGGCCAAATTTCCTCGGATGGCTCCGGTACAGCTGCTGGTGACCCATCTTGCTCTCTCGGATGCAACGAGGCAAAAAAAAAAAAAAAAAAAAGCCACCCCTATTTTTTTTATTTTTATTTTTTTTAAAGTAGGCTCCATGCCGAATGTGGGGCTTGAAGTCGCAACCCCGAGATCAAGAATCATATGCTCTACCGACTTGAGCCAGACAGGCGCCCCTGTTTTCTCATTTTTAAAATGAGGAAAATACACTTATCTCTTAGGATGGTTGTAAAGATTAAATGAATTCATGTAAAGCATTTAGAGTAATGCGTGGCACCTAATAAATGCTCAATAAATATTAATTGTTAATACTACTGGCATGTCATCTGTTGCATTTAAAGATACCAGGACCAGGGGCGCCTGGGTGGCTCAGTCGTTAAGTGTCTGCCTTCAGCTCAGGTCATGATCCCAGGGTCCTGGGATCGAGCCCCGCATCGGGCTCCCTGCTCCGTGGGAAGCCTGCTTCTCCCTCTCCCACTCCCCCTGCTTGTGTTCCCTCTCTCACTGTGTCTCTCTCTGTCAAATAAATAAATAAAACCTTTAAAAATAAATAAATAAAGATACCAGGACTGATTGCTGTAATTTGGATGTATATGGCCAACATGATGGTTTTATCACCTACAGTTTCTGATAAGGAGGACCAGTGGTATAGATCTTTAGTCATTCTTTGATTGATGGCCATGCCTTTGGCATCCTGTCAGTCTACTGGCATGACTCCAAATTAATGTCAAGCCAACACTAGACTATATTATCCGAGATTGTGTGTAGTTATATCCTTAAGGCAAGAGTACTTACCTGGGACCCATGATTAAGTGTTAGGGGGTCCTAGGAACAGCCAGAAAAGTATATCAACATTTGTGTGCATATGCATTTTTTTAGGAAGAAAGTCATGGAATATTTCATTAAATTCTTTTAGAAGTCTATACCAAAATGAGATATAAAGTCAGTGCCCTAAAATATTCCTCTGGCTTCCTTGCTCTCACTCCTTATAATAGTAGGTAGGCACAGGGCAGTGGGCCTCTGTGGTAAAGCTCAGACCCCATAATCTGAGGACCACATCAGGAAGCATCACTGATCACATAGATCATAAATAAGAATTTATAAAATATGAAATTAACTGCAGACATTTGAGTTTACAGTAACTCTAAAATCACTTCTGGAATGCTACAAGTTAAAATTTTTGTAAATAGCAAAAAATAACCTTTAGCCCTGCAAATTATAATAGAGTAATATTTTAAAGGCAGAATTGCTATTGGTACCTGTGATACTGTGATTTATAAAATAAGAACTATATTTGGTCTTTGTCCAGTCCTGGCAAAGAGCTCCTTTGGAATTTCCTAAGTGATGAGCCCTAGAAAGGTGTCTTTTGTTATGTTAATGAGGCGACTGGAAACCACCTAGGTCTCTGAAGGATGGGGGCTGGTTGCCAGGGGACCCAGTCATGTGATTAGAGGGTTGGAACTTTCAGTCCCATCCCCCAACCTCCAGAGTAGGAAGAGGGGCTGGAGGTTGAATCAGTTGCCAATGGCCAGTGATTTCTTTCTTTCTTTCTTTTTTTGTTTTTTGAAGATTTGAGAGAGGGAAAGAGCACGTGCCTGCACATGCACAGGCACGTGGGGGGAGGGGCGGAGAGAGAATCCTCAAGCAGACTCCCCCCCCAAACATGGAGCCGGTAGGGAGCCACGCCAGGGTTCTAGCCTAGGACCCTGAGATCATGACCTGAGCTGAAATCAAGAGTTGGCTGCCTAACCGACTGAGGACCCAGGTGCCCGGCCAATGGCCAGTGATTTAATCAATCATGCCTATATAATGAAGCCTCCATAAAAACCCAAGAGGACTGTTTTGGGAGAGCTTTGGGAGAGGGTTGGTGAACACGTGGTGGTGCTGGGAGAGTGGGTGCTCCGAGCATGGAAGCTCCGCCCCCTTTCCCGTACCTTGCCCCACGCATCTTCTCATCTGGCTGCTCCGGAGTTACATCCTTTTATACTGGACCAGGGATCTGGTAAGTAAAGTGTTTCTCTGAGTTCTATGGGCCGCTGTAGCAAATTAATCAAACAAGGGCGCCTGGGTGGCTCAGTTGGTTAAGCGACTGCCTTCGGCTCAGGTCATGATCCTGGAGTCCGGGGATGGAGTCCCGCATCGGGCTCCCTGCTCAGCGGGGGGGGGGGGGGGGGGGGGGGGTCGGGGGTCTGCGGTCTGCTTCTCCCTCTGACCCTCTTCCCTCTCGTGCTCTCTGTCTCTCATTCTCTCTCTCTCAAATAAATAAATAAAATCTTTAAAAAAAAATTAAGAGGCGGGAGTCGTTGGAACCTCTGATCTATAGCACAGGTGACAATGTGGACTTGCGACTGGAGCCGTTTTATAGAACCCAGCCCCTAACTTGTGAGATCTGATGCTACCTGCAGGTAGATAGTGTCAAAATTGAATGGCTGGTGTGTGACAGCTGCTTGCCCCCGCACACGTTGGAATTTCGGTGCAGAATGATAGAGAATGTTAGTGACAGAGAATGTTGAAAAAAAAAATGGCTGGCTTGTGAGAATTGGTTGGCACTAATCTGAGGTGGTGATTTGATTCTAAAAGATGATCTGTTCTTTCAACATAGAGCTCCTCAGAGTAAGGATCAGTCCGCTATAACTTCTCCTCTGAGATACTCTACTACCACATGCTTCTCTGCTCACAGAGCGCCTTCTGTTCTGGTGTTTAATCACCTGTTGACCAGTAAGAGATGCTGTATTCAGATGAAAAACATCAATTGTTATTCCAGTTAATATTTTCCATTTAGCATTTTGATTTATTAAATCAGGTCTTTGTGAGTTTAATTAGTAGATCCCAGTCATCCTTAGATAAATGGATGACACTAAGTTCTTGCATTTAAAAAAAGATTTTTATTTATTTTTTTAAAGATTTATTTATTTTGGAGAGAGAGGGGGCACACGTGCACATGGGCAGGGGACGGGGGGTTACAAGGGGGAGGAGAGAGAGAGAGACTTAAGCAGACTCCATGCTGAGCACAGAGCCCAACACAGGGCTCCATCTCAAAATCCTGAGATCATGACCTGAGCTGAAACCAAGAGTCAGACGCTCAACCGACTGAGCCACCCAGGTGCCCCTAAAGATTTTATTTTTAAGTAATCCCTACACCCAACATGGGGCTCAAATTTACAACCCTGAGATGAGAATCACATGCTCTACTGACTGAGCCAGCCAGGCACCCCCCACCCCATGAATTTAATTAGTACATCCCAGGCATCCTTAGATAAATGGATGGCACTAAATTCTTACATTTTGATTTGTTTATTTATTTCAGTAATCTCCACACCCAGTGTGGGGCTTGAACTCACAACCCCGAGATTGAGTTGCAAGCTCTTCGAGCTGAGCCAGCCAGGCACCCCTAAGTTCTTACACTTTTAAAGCTCATGACTAGACTTTGAATTACGGTGTCTCTGTGTTCAGTCAATCAGCCAATATTTATTAAGTGCATACTGTGTATCAGGAATCCAGTAGTGAGCCAGCAGGCCCTCATAATCTCTTTGTTCATGGAGCTTGCCGTCTAGTGAGGAAGACAAAGCAACAAGCAATTTCTACACAGTGCAGTAAGTTCTGTGGATAAACTTTACTCTTGCTTCACTGTACTCTAGAGTAGTTTTGGGTGACATTTGCCATTTGAGAATTCTCAAATACAGAACAATCCCATCCCACAACCCTGTAATTAGTATGCAGTGAACAATTCCTGTGTGTGTAGATCTGTAACGTATCCTGATATCTTAGAATTATAGCTTTTATCTCTTTTTCTCAGGTACCCTTCATTAATAAGTTTGATTTTAAGTAGTCTCTAAGTTGGACAGCTCCTGTAAGCTGGTGTCTGATGTTCTCAGCACTCGGTACAAACTGTTTTGTCCCAAGTGTACCCAAAACCCTGAGAACACACTTACCTATAATTTGGAAGAGTCTCTTCTTTCATAGAACATTCTTTCGGTTATCTTCTTTTTGCATATTAGGAAATAATAGCCCTGGAAGATTTAAAGATTTAGGGGCAGAGGGAGATGAAGAGAGAGAGAATCCCAAGCGGCTCCTCCAAGGGTTCAACCCCACGACCCTGAGATCACAACCGAAGCTGAAACTAAGAGTCAGATGCTTAACTGACTGAGCCAGCCAGGCGCCTCTGGCCCTGGAAGATTTAAATGACTTGTTGAAGGTCACATTCAAGAGTCTTGGTTAGAGGGAACTGAATTTCTTCCTGACGTGCTCTTTCCATTGTGTTTCATGACTAGGTGGCATGCAAACAGGGTCTATTTCTCATCACCGAAATGCCCCAAATTGGTGAAAAATGGTAAATTTACTGTGAAAAGTGTTTCTGTTATTTTCAGAAGTTTAAGATGATTAGACATTTGAAGATTTTTGCAAAACCAAGGCTAAAACATAACTTGGAAGCCCTGGTGACAATCCTGAATCTCTTTAGGAGAGAAAAACTTGGCGTGCCTGTCTGGCTAAGTCATTAGAGCGTGTGGCTCTTGATCTCGGGGTTGTGAGTTTGAGCCCCACATTGGGTGTAGAGATTACTTTTCTTTTTTTGTTAAAGATTTTATTTATTTATTTGACAGAGAGACACAGCGAGAGCAGGAACACAAGCAGGGGGAGTGGGAGAGGGAGAAGCAGGCTTCCTGCCGAGCAGGGAGCCCGATGCGGGGCTCGATCCCAGGACCCTGGGATCATGACCTGAGCCGAAGGCAGACGCTTAATGACTAAGCCACCCAGGCGCCCCAAGATTACTTTAAAAAAAAAATCTTAAAAAAGATAAGAGCCCGATGGAATTTAATAACTTTAACTTCTGATCCTCACTATTGATATACCACAATGGAAGTTCCATTTTCTGATAAATGGCAACAGAAAATATTAGCTGGGTGACTCAGTTGTTAAGTGTCTGTCTTCGGCTCGGGTCATGATCCCAGGGTCCTGGGATCGAGCCCTGTGTTGGGCTCCCTGCTCAGTGGGAAGCCTGCTTCTCCCTCTCCCACTCCCCCTGCTTGTGTTCCCTCTCTCGCTGTG